CCCTCAAAGTAAGGCTTCAAGAACACCAGAAAGCTGTAACACGAGGAGAAGTAGAAAAATCAGGCATGGCTGACCACATATGGTGAGAAAAGGGAGATCACTGCCCCCTGTGGGATCATGTTGAGATCATAGACAGGGAACACCATTGGAAAATTCGTAAACTTAAGGAATCAACACATATGCTAGGCCACAAAAATTTCCTGAGCCGACCAAGCATAGAAATGATCACAATATGGGAACCAGTAAGGAGTGCCAGAGAAAAGCAATAATAACAAAGAAAATTGCAATATGAGCTCTGGTAAAAAAACATTAATTGATAACAGCAAAAATTGCAGAATGAGCACTGATAAAAATTGAGGCTGAAGACATTACGTTTATAATACCTAGAAACTCATACACGGATGTCTTGAAGGACACATGGCACAGTGGATATTTAGATCCCGTGACATAACCCAAAGAGTGTGAGTTCAATACCTAGTTAAGGCGGTGGGGAACTTGGAGAGAGGAATTAACAGGAGATAACTGATAACTGACATCTATTAGATATGGCACGTGGAACTAGAAAAGTTTACTCCAGCGAGCGAAATAAACAGTTCAGTTCGACATTCAAACTTTTTCTGAACGGCCGAAACGTTGTGATAAATATGGCGACAAAGATGATAGATGATAGTCCGAACAATGTAAATAGTGTACATAAAACATCATTTCACAGAGCTACAATTTATATTAATAACAAATAGACATTTTTCCTCACAGATAGAACAACAGTACAGATTGCTCCGTGCATGAAACTCAGAGTTTTGCAAATTTTAACGAATAACTTATATATAATTGTGTTAAATGCTTTTGTCTTCATGCTTTGCTTAATTAGCTGCGTGTCTGACTGAAGACTTTCACATGTGGGAATGCGAAAATTTTGCTTTCTGTTGTCTTTCTTTCTTTCTTTGAGATTATGTTATACGTCGGCGGGGAGCATTGCTGGAACCAAATGCAATTTTAACGACAGGCACGACGTCGAGAATAGTCGTCACGACGCCGAGAATAGTCGTGACGACGTCTAGAATAGTCGTAATGACATCTAGAATAGTTGTAACGACGTCTAAAATAGTCGTAACGACGTCTAGAATACTCGTAGCAACATTGAGAATAATTGTAAGGACGTCTAGAATAGTCGTAACGACATCGAGAATAGTCGTAACGACGTCGAGAATAGTCGTAACAACGTCTAGAATAGTCGTAACAACGACGAGAATAGTTGTAACGACGTCTAGATTACTCGTAACGACATCGAGAATAGTCGTAACAGCGTCGAGAATAGTTGTAACGACGTCTAGAATACTCGTAACGACATTGAGAATAGTCGTAACGACGTCTAGAATATTCGTAACGACATCGAGAATAGTCGTAACGACATCGAGAATAGGGGTAACGGGCGTCGAGAATAGTCGTAACGAAGTCTAGAATAGTCGTAACAACGTCGAGAATAGTTGTAACGACGTCAAGATTACTCGTAACAACATCGAAAATAGTCGTAACGATGTCAAGATTACTCGTAACAACATTGAGAATAGTGGTAACGACGTCTAGAGTAGCCGTAACGACATCGAGAATAGTCGTAATGACGTCGAGAATAGTTGTAACGACGTCTACAATACTAGTAACGACATCGAGAATAGTCGTGACGACGTCTAGAATAGTCGTAACGACGTCTAGAATAGTCGTAACGACATCGAGCATAGTCGTAACGACATCGAGAATAGTGGTAACGACATCGAGAATAGTCGTGCCGACGTCTAGAATAGTCGTAACGATGTCTAGAATAGTCGTAACGACATCGAGCATAGTCGTAACGACATCGAGAATAGTGGTAACGACGTCGAGAATAGTCGTAACGACGTCTAGAATAGTCGTAACGACGTCTAGAATAGTCGTAACGACATCGAGCATAGTCGTAACGACATCGAGAATAGTGGTAACGACATCGAGAATAGTCGTGACGACGTCTAGAATAGTCGTAACGACGTCTAGAATAGTCGTAACGACATCGAGCATAGTCGTAACGACATCGAGAATATCCTTATTATTTCCTCCTTCGATATATTTCATTTTGATTTTTCTTATTGTTGTGTAGGAACCTACCACCCCTCTTGAAGATGAACTCGTCTACAAACAAGGACGTTAAATAGTGGCATGAAAAAAGACAGTGTCGGAAGTTCTTGAGCTGACTTCCGACGTCTGTCGAACTCTCTGCGTTAGCAGAAAGGAACCCGGACGAGGCTTTGCCGAAGGGCAAGGTTTCGTCCGGGGAGGTAGACAGGGCCTGAACCCGTCTAATCGGCTTCAAAAGGTTATTTTTTGGCCGAGCCTACGGGCTCGGAGATACCCACAATAAAACCGGCCTTGTGCCATATTCGTTTCCCGTGGGTGAAATGATAAATACCGAAGTTCTTGAGCTGAGTTAGTTATAGACTACTCAGGCGATATCTGTACCAACTTACCAACCGAATAAACCCCATTTTATTGTTACATGTTATTTGGCGTTTGTCTTTATTAACCCCAAATTAACATCATAACACTTATTTAACAGGTTCAGCTAATGACAATAATTCTACACGTCATTCCTTCAGGTTAGAATACGAACTATTGTTTCTTTTATGTCTTCTCTCTAACTCCTATCTAACTATGGATAAATTGTCGTCTAAATGACACAGAGAAGAAAATAACATTGATATCTCTTTTTTTTTTAACAGATATTATTTACCAAAATTGCACAAAAATATCTTAAAATAGTAAATTGATTCAATAAAATCAGCATTGGCTTCAACCACGGCCTTCAGATGGCTTCGGAATCTCCTGCATCCCTTCTGGAGGGTTGTCTTGTTTAAGTTCTTGAATGCTGCCATAATCCTTGTTTTCAACTCATCTTTGCTGTTACAAGGAGTTTTGTTGGTCTCCCGCTCAACTGCGCCCCACCCATCAAAGGGGCTGCAGTATGGGGAGTTAGGTGGCCAGATTTAAGTCATGATGTGGTCAAAGAAATTGTCTGACTTGGTTCTACTGCTTGTGTGACATGGTGCAGAGTCCTGTTGTCAGGCATAGTGTTTTCCAGAAGCAGGTCTTAACCAGGGCAGTACTGTCTCCTCAAGGAACTTAATATAGGGCTCCGTGTTGAGCCTGAGTTTCTGTGGGAAGGTTATTAGAGCCATGCACGAAATTCAAGCTATAAAATGGCGACAATCTACTCCTCCCTCCCTGTATGTATGTAAGCAAATCACCCTCATTTCTACAGGAATTCTCCCGTTCACAGAATCGGTGAAAAGTAAAGCCTTATCTTATTGAAATTGTTAATAACTTTATTAGTAACTGGTCGATTTTCATAAAAATTGTTTTATTTTGAATAGTAAATCAAGTTTAGTATACATAGAACAGCAGAAATGTGTATGAGACAAAGACTTATTCAACCTATTCAGCGAGGCGAGAGAATAATCTGTCCTACCAGGACATAAGATATGCAGATGACACAGTGTTGATAGCAGACACCGAAAGAAAACGACAAAATCTCCTACAGAAAGTAGTGATGGAAAGCAAGAAGAAAGGACTAATCACAAACTGCAAAAAAGCAAAATGCATGGTTGTTAGCAAAAGGAGAAGCCCAAAAGGCAAATTACAAATCAGAGTTTAACAAAATACAAAGATATAATTATCTGGGAAGTGTTCCAGCAGAGAATGGAAATTGCGACAGTGAAATCCGAAGACGTATAGGGATAGCGAAAGATGCTTTCTAAAAGCTAAGCAAAGTATTAAGAGACAGAAAAATTGCCTTAGAAACAAAGAAAAGAGTACTGAAATGTTACGTGATATATGTTCTCCTATACAGTGAAGTCCTCAAAGATGAAAAAGATACTTGAAGCGAAAAAAGAAAGAAAGAAACAAACAAACAAATAAAACAGGATGAAGAAAGAAAGAAAGGAAATGAAAGAAAGACGGAACGAAGAAAGAAAGAAAGAAAGAAAGAAAGAAAGAAAGAAAGAAAGAAACGGAGAGAAATTTAGAAGAAAGAAAAAAAGAAATAGATGATGGGATATTTATATCTAAGAAAGAAAGAAAGAAAGAAAGAAAGAAAGGGTAGAGTGAAAGACAAGACAAAGAAAGAAAGAAAGAAAGAAAGAAAGAAAGAAAGAAAGAAAGAAAGGAAAAATACGGAATGAACAAAGAAAGAAAGAATGAATGAATGAAAGAAAGAAAATTAATGGATGTCGAATTCTGCGAATTTTCTTTTCTTTTTTCTTATTTTTGTATTTTCAGTTTTTTCTTTCTTCCACATTTCTGCTTGCCTCCGTCTTTATTCTTCAGATATCCGTAAGCAATTATTATTATTATCATTATTATTATTATTATTATTATTATTGTTATTGTTATTATTATTATTATTCCACCGTTTCTGCTACTATTTTTTCTTCCTGAAAGCCTTTCGTTGTGCGACCATCCACTAGCCAACTCTTCACAGCAACGAACTCATCGGCTTGTCCCTGCATACAGAAAAAAAAAAAAACGAAAGGAAAAATGGCGTTAAACTTGTTCCATGCAGTAGTGCCCTCTAGTGTCCAGTTCAGTACACCATACTTTAGTGTCAACAATTTTTATATTGGATTTAATTATAAAATCACACTCTAAGGCATTTTTTTTCTTTTACTTTTTCCTTTCTTGCTATTTTCTCACCTCGTCATTCCATTTTACCGTCTTTAATCTTGTCGTCTGTGACATCTTTGCCAGCGCGGTGTCGTTGTCATTGGAAGGAAGTTACAACGTCATCCTAACTTGCCGTTAGAATAGAATGGCCCCAACTGCCTGAGACATCTTTCTTTATTACATATTTTCTTTCCCATTTCCTTTTGTTGAATTACTTTATTTTGATTACTTTCATTGCTTTTCTGTCATTTTTATTTCATATTTCTCTGTTAATATGCTTGGGCTCAGTGAGAGTGGAAGATAGAGAGAGGCTAGAAGGAGAGGGATGAGGAGAAAGGTAGAGATGGGGAGAAGGGATAAAAGATCGATAAAAAGTGAGAGAGGGGAAGATAGAGAGAGAGTAGAAGGAGAGGGATGAGGAGAAAGGTAGAGATGGGGAGAAGGGATAAAAGAAGGTCGATAAAAAGTGAGAGAAGATAGAGAGAGGCTCGAGGAGAGGAATGAGGAGAAAGGTAGAGATTGGGAGAAGGGATAAAAGAAGGTCGATAAAAAGTGAGAGAGAGGAAGATAGAGAGAGAGTAGAGGAGAGGGATGAGGAGAAAGTTAGAGATGGGGAGAAGGGATAAAAGAAGATTGATGAAAAGTGAGAGAGGGGAAGATAGAGAGAGGCTAGAGGAGAGGGATGAGGAGAAAGTTAGAGATGGGGAGAATGGATAAAAGAAGGTCGATAAAAAGTAAGAGAGAGGAAGATAGAGAGAGGGTAGAGGAGAGGGATGAGGAGAAATGTAGAGATAGGGAGAAGGGATAAAAGAAGATCGATGAAAAGTGAGAGAGGGGAAGATAGAGAGAAGCTAGGTGAGAGGGATGAGGAGAAAATTATAGATGGAGAGAAGGGATAAAAGAAGATCGATGAAAAGTGAGAGAGAGGATGATAGAGGCTACAAGGAGAGGGATAAGAAGAAAATAGAGATGGGGAAATGGATAAAAGAGTGGTGGAGAACAGAGGGAGAAAGGAGAGTGAGAAAGGGAGAGATAAGAAGAAAGAGAGAGGGAAGAAAGAGGAAGGGAGAAAATGAGAAATTTCCTATCCAAAAGCCTGTTTCTTTGTTGTCTAACCTGTAGGAGTTTTTTTTTTTTTTTTTCTCTTTTTCATTTTTTAATTATCTGTCTATATTTCTGAGATGAGGTATTATGTACATTATTTACATTATTCGGACTATTGAACTCATCTTTGTCGCCATATTTATTACAACGTTTCGGCCGTTGTACGCACCGGCCTTCTTCAGGTGGCTGGAATGTCGAACTGAACATGGCAAAGTGGATAAAGGCGTTAGTTAGATCCAGTGACAGGACCCAAAGAGTATGAGTTCAATACCCGGTTAAGGCAGTGGAGAACTTTCAGAGGGAAATTAACAGGAGATAACTGATAACTGACATCCATTAAACATGGCGCGTGGAACTAGAACAGTAAGCAAAATAAAGGGTTCAGTTCGAGTTTCCAACTACCTGAAGAAGACCGGAGCTTACAACGGCCGAAACGTTGTAATAAATATGGCGACAAAGATGAGGTCAATACTTTGAATAATTTAAATACTGTTTTTAATTGTTTCTCTCTAAGAAAGGTGGTGATGTCACTAAGACGCAATGGGTTACTGTCAGTGAAAGAGAATTGGACAACTTTTGTAAGGAAAATGGGCAATAAGTAACAAATCGGCAGTTCGACAGACAAGATGTGAGAAGAAATAAAACTATTAGAATATAACAGACGATTGCATCTAGGTAGTTCAACGGTAACACAGTGTGACCTAACTGCCAATCTAGTAGCACGCTTAAATTTATGCAGTCGTGGCACAAAAGAGAAAAGCTCATCAGAACAATGGCCATGAAAATATTTGTAGAAAAGACGGGGGAAGCCACGTCACGCCTGTGAGAAAGTGACTGAAGTCGAGATGCCAGGTCATGATCGATTACATTGCAGATCCTTTTTTTGAATTTCGTCAAAAGAATGTCGAGTTGTACAGCAGGGGCAACAGATCAGATATGGCGGCAATATTCAATGGACCAAGGAATGGTAGATTTATAAAAATGCAAGATGGTGAAGAACATGTGAATAAAAGCAGTAAATTCGATCTTGCTTACCCAACGATCTTCTGTGGCCGAATCGGTTAAAATGCACGTCAGGCTATATGACGGTTCCGTATAGGATACAGGTTCGATTCCTGTCGGAGGGCGATTATTTTCTATGAAAATTTCTCGAACATTCAGGCCGGTAAATGTTGTTTAATACTGTTTCTTATAAACAGAGCATTTACTTAAATATTTGTATCAATATAAAGAATGTAAAACATAAATTGCCTTAAATATTTGTATTTATATAAAGAATGTATAAACATAAAATGTCTTAAAACATTTATATATATATATATATAATTGTGTGTGTGTGGATTCTTCCGTCCTATTCGCCGTATGAGGGTCAAGCATCTCAATTTCTAGGAAATCGACAGCCCTACACCAGCACATATGATTTGATTATTATGTTAAAGGGTTTGTGCAGAACCAACCAGTTTTTGAAGGATCGAATACAGGGACCTGGTGCACTACGTGCCACAGGGTCCCCAAACAACCCTCTGCAGATTTTGAATTCACAGTTGTTCTTCACCTAGACCAGTTGCCATCCAAGGCTTATAGAACCCAGTCTGTCCTGCAATATATATATATATATATTCTTTAGTAATGTTACTAATTTTATATTAAATTAGATTAAATTAATTCCCTTCCATTATATAAATAATTAATAATTAATCTCTATCTACAAAAGGCAGGATGTGTGTGTGTGTGTGTGTGTGTGTGTGTGTGTAACGAATGCACGGCCGCAATTTTTGACGGATTTGCACCAAAATTTACATGCACATGCTCCAAGTTAGCAGGAAGGCCAAAACAGACTTTGCATTTCCCAACTCCCATCGATAGTGGAAATAATCGATTTTTTCATGCTACTACAGTAGTTTTCATGTAGTTTGTGGCCATTTTCCACTGGCCAGAGTGAGACCCTATAGCTGGCTGCCACGAATAGACAGGCAGATTCTATTGGCCAGCGTGAGAGCCAACAGTTGACTGTCACGAATGTTAACTTGCATGCTAGCATGCAAAAAAAATGGATAGCTGCATTCGTCACAAGTGGGAAAAATTTAAATCTGCATGGCACTTTACTTCAATTGGCTCATTCACTTGCTTAAACTCAACGTTGATCCTGATTCCGCAGAACTGGGTTGGGTGTAAAAAAGTATTTGTTGTTAACATTCTTTTTTCATTCGGTTTTTCCAGTTACGAGTTCTTTTTTTTAAAGCTGATCGTTTTGTGTTCATTTTGTTTAGTTCTTTTGTCATAACAGATTTAATGTTTAGTATAGAGCTTAGAAAAAATTCGCAGTGTGAGATAAGCAAGAAGTAAGGCATGTAGCAACATCAGCACGGCAAAGTGTACTCCTTTAAAGGCAAGGAAGGGCAAAAATATTTTGTCAAGTGATAGCGATTGCTGTATGAGTCGTACGATTTTTTAATCAAGCCTGGGCATCGCCGGGAAATGCTGCTAGTAGTTCATAAAACTCTACTCTAAATAAAAATTAATAATTCATAGGAAATTCTTACTTTTTATATCCATATGCTAATACCGGTAATTTTCGTTGCAAGATTTAATGTCATGAGAAATATAAACAATTTTTAAAAAAATGAAAAAAACTGTATCCCAATAGATGTAGCGCTTAACTACACTACCATTATGGTAAACTGATAGATTTTGTAATTATATATAAGTAATGGCCAATATACACTCCGCACCTGAAGATTGCTTTTGGCAATCGTGTGGGATTATATGTATATTCATTAATATATATATATATATATACTTTATAGCTCTGTTATATAACATCGAGCAATGTTTCAATAACAACAGCACTTTATGTGCAATTTATATATTTACATATACGTGCCATGTTAAATAGATGTCAGTTATCTCCTATTAATTCCGCTCTCCAAGTTCTCCACTGCCTTAACCAGGTATTGAACTCGCACTGTTTGGGTCCTGTGACTGGATCTAACCAACGCCTTTATTCACTGTGCGATGTGTCTTGGAGAGAGGAATTAACACGAGATTGATTATAAATGACATCCATTAAACATGTCACGTGGAACTAGAACAGTCTACCCCAGTGAGCGAAATGAAGGGTTCAGTTCGACATTTCAACTACCTGAAGAAGGCCGGAGCGTACGACGGCCGAAACGTTGAAGTAAATATGGTGACAAAGATGAGGACAATAGTCCGAATAATGTAAATAGTGTACATAATACCTCCTCTCAGAAATATAGACAGATACTGAAAGTCCGAAACGTTGTAATAAATATGGCGACAAAGATGAGGACAATAGTCCGAATAATGTAAATAGTGTACAAAATACCTCATCTCAGAAATATAGGCATTAGAGTCTAATATTAACAACAGTTGTATAGTAAAGTAAGAATATTAATAAAAATAAATTATAACACTACTAATATATGATCTCCGGTTCCGGTTAGACTGTAATAAACTGGATCACTGTGTTTAACTTACTTTAAGACATTATATGTTTATATTTTTCAGTATTATTAATTTTTCAGAAAGACATATGTTACATCTGTTGCATTTCCCAATGAAACACTTAGATTTTGCTATTTATTCTCACATCATAATAGGTTTTTTATTCTCGATTTTTCGTTTCCAGAAAAATTTAGAGGGGCAGTGCTGTGACTATATATATATATATATATATATATATATATATATATATATATATTTATATATAGGTCTTTGTCATGTTGTATTGGTAATGTTATATTTATGAATATGTCCTGAAGATGGCTTATTAGACCGAAACGTCCGACGTTGACATATAACATTAAAATATTAAAATTGTATAATTTTTTGTTTTGTTTTTTTGTTTTTTTTTTCATATATATAAATATATATATATATATATATTTTATATTATATATATATATATATATATATATATATATTGCCTAATGTCCTTTGGTGGTGTTAGAATCGCGATTTCTAATGGTTTTCCATAAAGCCCACCAAAAACTTGATCTCGTTGTTATATTTGATTTCACATTTATGAATTAACGATTTGGACGTACATTTATTGCTTGAAGGGCGGGGTTTGTTTATTTTGCAATTATTAGTTGCGTGGATGTTGTTCTTTTGAGAGTTGTTGAAATGCTTGTTTAGAATGGTATCAGTTGCGCTGTGCTATACACTGGTCGATGTTTTTAGAACAACTGAATCTAACTTTGACTTTCTTTTTGTTGGGGAATGAGTGAAGTGCTTATAGATTAAATTCAAATGTTTTTTCCTATCTTAGTCTTGATGTTTTTTTGTTGAAGGGAGGGTTAAACCATATAATATTTTGTGTACGACTTTTTCGTTTAGTGCCATCCGTATTGTATTAGCTAAGAATTCGGGGTTAATTTTATAGGTACGATGTTCTAGTGCTTCAACGTATTCTACACACAGACACACACACAAATACACACACACACACACACACACATATATATATATATATATACATATTAATGAGAAATGTGGATTTTTAGAAATATATTATGTTTATATATATATATTACATATTAAAGAGAAATGTGGATTTTTTAGATAATGTATTATATTTATTTTAGATATATATTATATATTAAAAGAGAAATGTGCATTTTTAGATATATATTCTATTGACTTTTTCGATATATATTATATTTATTTTTTAGAAATATATTATGTTTTTATATATATATATATATATATATATATATATATATATATATATATATATATATATATTAAAGAGAAATGTGGATTTTTAGATATGTATTATATTTATTTTAGATATATATTATATATTAAAGAGAAATGTGAATTTTTAGATATATATTCTATTGACTTTTTTTTCGATATATATTATATTTTTTTTTTATGTTTATATATATATATATATATATATATATATATATATATATATATATATATATATATATATATTATATTAAAGAGAAATGTGGATTTTTTAGATATGTATTATATTTATTTTAGATATATATTATATATTAAAGAGAAATGCATTTTTTAGCTATGTATTCTATTTACTTTTTCGATATATATTATATTTATTTTTAGAAATATATTATGTTTATATATATATATATATATATATATATATATATATATATATATATATATATATATATATATATATATATATATATATATATATATATATATATATATATATATATATATATATATATAAAGAGAAATGTGCATTTTTTTTAGATATATATTATATTTACTTTTTTGGATATATATTATATTTATTTTTTAGAAATATATTATAGCAGGCGAAGATTGTTTTTATTTTTTGAAGGAATTAATTTTTCCTTATGTTTTCCGATGTTTAACCATTGCCTTTTGTGCATAGTAAAAATTTGGTGTATTAGCACTACACACAAAAAGCATTGAAGATCGTCATACCCGAAACCGTGTTGCAAAAATACGGATAATAAAGTGCAATATTCAAAATATCATAATTATAACCAAAAACGTTTCGGCCTCTTTCTTTCTATTTAAAATATACACTTTTCTATCGTTGCAACAGCTATAACAACCCCTTATACACACACACACACACACACACACACACACACACACACACACACATATATTTATGTGTGTGTGCGTGTGTGTGTGTGTGTTTTTGTGTGTGTGTCTGTGTGTTTTTGTGTGTTTGTGTGTGCGTGTGTGTGTGTTGATATAATAGAAAAGAACTGTTAGATTGATGATCCGAAGTTCTTTAGTATTTTGTTTTGATAGAATCATATTTTTAAAAAAAAAATATATATATATATATATATATATATATATATATATATATATAAATGACAATAAGAAAACTGTAATAGCTGCCGGTGCATTTCGGACAACAATGTGGCCTTTCTCATGGCCAAAAACGTTTTTGCCTTGAGAAAAACGTTTTTTTTTGCCTTGAGAAAAACGTTTTTTTTTGCCTTGAGAAAAACGTTTTTTTTTTTGAGAAAAACGTTTTTTTGCCTTGAGAAAAACGTTTTTTTTGGTTTTGAGAAAAAACGTTTTTTTTTTTTTTGCCTTGAGAAAAACGTTTTTTTTTGCCTTTAGAAAAGCGTGTTTGCCTTGAGAAAAACGTTTTTTTTTGCCTTGAGAAAAACGTGTTTGCCTTGAGAAAAACGTTTTTTTTGCCTTGAGAAAAACGTTTTTTTTTGCCTTGAGAAAAACGTTTTTTTGCCTTGAGAAAAACGTTTTTTGCCTTGAGAAAAACGTTTTTTTTGCCTTGAGAAAAACGTTTTTTTTTGCCTTGAGAAAAACGTTTTTTTGCCTTGAGAAAAACGTTTTTTTGCCTTGAGAAAACGTTTTTTTGCCTTGAAAAAACGTTTTTTGCCTTGAGAAAAATGTTTTTTTGCCTTGAGAAAAACGTTTTTTTTGCCTTGAGAAAAACGTTTTTTTTGCCTTGAGAAAGTACCCATTGGACGAAACGCATCGGCAGCTATTACAGTTTTCCTATTGTCATTTGTATTTATAAATATTGTTTTTTCTACAGGTTAACTCTGAGAAATTTTCATATATATATATATATATATATATATATAAAGGGGTTATGAAGTAATGAAGTGTCGCTACTGACAATTGTGTTTGAACACAGATAGCCAGTGAACAAACACAGGCGTTCTCATTATTGATTAAATGGTCAC